AGGGGGAAAGCCCTACATTTGACCCCTATAAGTTTGCAAAAACCCACATAACCTCTACATTGGGGCACTGTTGTACTCAGGAGATGTTACTGAACACATATTGGGGTGTCTTTTCTCAGCAACACATAACAGGAACTGAAAATCCACGCCTAAAGTACAAAGTGAGAGATAAATAACACACAAAAAAAATGACTACCCAAACGTTTGACAAAGACTGGTGGTAGAATTAGTGCATGGAAAGTGTTAAAATACCACCATCTGAAATACCCTAGCATGTCTGCTTTTCATAAATGTATGGTTTGATTGGGGTAAGTTACACTGGCTGGCTTAGAAAATGTCCCAAATAAGACATGGGTGCATGATGACCAGCTGAGAAAATTTCAAGTTAAAAAACTGGAATGCGCACTCTCCAAATAAAGTTTTTTAGCCCCCAGAGAACCCGACACACCTATACAAGGTGGATATCACTGTACTCAGGAGATGTTGCTGAACACATACTGGGGTGTTTTGGCAGTAACCCTTAAGGTTTTCCATACATTTATTCTTAAATTGCTATAGGTGTCAAAATAATCTCCAATTATTTGTTTATGTTTTTATTTGGCATTGATTGGTGGTAAAATGGTTGCATGAAAAGGGTCAACATACCCCAAGTATAATCTCCTATTTTGTAAAAAAAAAAAAAAAATATATAATATATATATATATATATATATATATATATACACACATACATACATATATACATACACACACACACACACACACACACACACACACACACGTGTGAAGGGTTATTCAGGGATTCCTGACAGATATCAGTGTTACAATGTAATTTGCGTTCATTGTTTTTAAAAATGGTTTGGAAATAGCAAAGTGCTACTCGTACTTATAGCTCTATAACATTGAAAAAAAAAAAAAAAAGAAGCCAAGAACATGTTAACATTGGATATTTCTAAACTCAAGACAAAATTTAGAAACTATTTAGCGTGGGTGTTTTTTGGTGGTTGTAGATATGTAACAGATTTTGGGGGTCAAAGTTCAAAAGAAGTGTGTTTTTTTACATTCTGTCATCATATTTTATATTTTTTTATAGTAAATTATGATATTATGAAAATAATGGTATCTTTAAAAAGACCATTTTATGACAAGAAAACGGTATATAATATGTGTGGGTACAGTAAATGAGTAAAAGGAAAATTAAAGCAGACATGTAAAAAGAGCCCTGCTCCTTAACGGTAAGCACATTGAAAAATGGTCTGGTCACTAAGGGGTTAAAGAGAGAAACAGCAAAAAATAAAAAAAATAAAATCTAGGATCATTTATGGGAATGACACTATCATAGCTCCTTCTAAAATAAGTCAAATTTTTCAAGATTTTTACCAGGATTTATATAAATCAGATAGACATTTGCCAAAAGTATGGGAGATTTTGGGGGGGGGGGAAGTACGTTACCTAAAGTTCACTGGGTTAGCTTAAACTAATTAAATGAATCAATGTCAGCAGTGGGAGGTAGAAAATTCATAAATCCCCAGATCCAGATGGTTTTAGCAATTATTTTTTTAGATCAATGAACGATAACATAATTAATATTTTAACTAGCATTTAATGAGTTTTTGAGCAGTGGAAAGGTTCCCAAAGAAATGTTAAAGGCTCACATTGTAACAATTCTTAAGCAACATACAAATCTGTAATTAATTTTAAATTAAATTATAGACTCATCTCTCTATTAAATGTTGATATGATATATACACATCAATAGTTGCAGCCAGATTAAATAACATCATATCAGATATTATACAGCAAGACCAATTTGGGTTTGTGTACAATAGATCATCAGGTCGCTTACTAATATAGTAGACTTGGTTCATAAAAGAAGTTCATCCATCCTTGTCCTATCATTAGACGCTAAAAAGGGGTTTGACAGGGTCAGGTGGTGTTACGCTACTTAGGTGATTTGGATTGGAACTCAAATCCAAATGTCCTCCATATAATTAGTAGCTTGAAGCAGTGAAGATTTGAGTAAGCAAGCATTAGTTCATTGTTAAATGATATTGTAGACAAATAACTGAAAGATATACTTAAGGTTAATGTGAGTAGTCCTCCAATAGTTCAGAGGTATGGTCCACTTGTAAAGTAAGTGAGTTTCCGTTCTCCAGTAATCCTCTATGACATGAAGCATACTTGTCTTAGTCCAGAAGGCTCGGACGACTTCAGAGTTTGTAGAGCCGGCGTGCATATATTTAGAAGCAGGACCCACATTGCCAGAGCCTGTGGAGAGGTAAATCTGGCGGAAGTAGCTCCCAGTATCACCAAGTACCCTCTCTCTGGCCCGGTCTCCCTAAATACTGTCAGAGCTGTGTCAGAGGGGGGCGGGGTCCGGCTCTGCCCAGCGGAGTGCCGAACCCAGAAGTGTTGCCACATGACAGGTGGGATTTTCTGGATTACACTTCAGATGCATTTGGCCAATCTGGTAACTTAAAAATAGCTATTATTGCACTGTACACCTCCCTGACAGCAAGTTGGGAGTGGGTTTACCTTCAATTGGTTCCCTCTAAAAAATGGGATGGGACAGGGGTGCCCACTCTTTCCTCTTTTATATTTAATGGTAATTGAGCCACTGACCATGGCAATAAGGGACAGTGACCAAATTAAGGGACTGAAAGAGAAGGATGACTGTGTTAAACTGACCATGTATTCAGATGATGTACTTACCCTTGGGGACCCATTTAACACACTGAATAATCTGCTGCCATTTGTGGAATCATTTTTTTTTATTTATTCAGGGTATAAATTGAACTGTAGCAAGTCAGTTGCTCTCCCAATTATCATGGTTTAGGGTGTCATTAAAGCTCTAACAACTGAGTTTAGTTTTTGCTGTATGGAGCAATCATTCACCTGTGTAGGGATCAAAATTGCTAATGATCTCAATAAAATAATGGAACTTAATTTTTAGCATTACTTAACTATACAGGCAAACAATTAAATAAATTGAAAAATCTGGAGATATCATGGTGGAAAATGATTTAAGCCAGACCACAGGTAATGTTCTCTTTGTTTTTACTATGTATTTTGAACTGCTGGATACTAAGCTACTGCTGCTGTAAGTGTGGTGCTTTATCTTTGTGTTTGTATATGATGTTTGTATCACACAGCTATGTTACATTGCTGCCAGCCACCCCATGTCTGTCTTATTGAGAGTTTATAAGTATGGAGGGGCAGCACCCCTTCCTGTCTCAACAGAGAAATTTGCCTTTTAGCTGATACAGGCAAGGTGATTTGTATGTTTTATAGCCCTTTTTAGGGTAAATAAGTATGTAGGGGTTTATAAAACACCCCTTCAAGTCTCATTAGAGATGTTTATACTTTGTCTGATACCAGCAAAGTTTATTGTATGTGTAGAAGCCCTATAAAGGGTTAAATGTGAAAGGGTTTATAAAATACCCTATCCTGTCTCATTGGAGATTCTTGGCCGATATCAGCAAATCTAATGGCTAGTGTAGGACTCACCTTTTGGGGCTTGCCTTGACGTGGCAGGTAAGCTTATATTCAAATGGCCATTACAAAAAAAAACTAAAGAGCCTCCATTTTGTGTAAATGTACATAGGGATTTAGGCCAGAGTGCAGGTAACGTTAGCTTTGTTTTTATTTTTATTAAATTATATATTGTCTCATTGGGAGAAAGACAACAAAGATCTCTGCAAAATTGCAAAATAAGTAAATCTCTTGCCTCCTACTGTCTCACTGAACATATTATATCCCCAATCTAAATATACACAACTGACTAAATTGATAATTTAAAAAGCAATGACAAACGTTCTTTTGATTGGCTCCAATCATAATCTAGACATAAGACATTTTTAATTATCTAAGAATTTAATAATTAAAGTTTTTAATTATCTAAGAATTAAAGGTCTTTGTCAAGAATATGTAAGGAAAAAAAACAATAAAATGATTATGGTAGAAAGGCTAGTAAATAAACTGACTCCAACTAAATTAGCAGCTTGCTGCTTACATTTTATTTCAAGGGTCTTAGATAAATCTATTGAGGCATTAATAATAGATGTCTAACTGAGCTAAATGTACAGATTAGCTGTGATGACTGGAGGAATTATCTATCTTTAGTTTATAAATATACACTGCTCAAAAAAATAAAGGGAACACAAAAATAACACATAGATCTGAATGAATTAAATGTTATTCTGAAATACTTTGTTCTTTACATAGTTGAATGTGCTGACAACAAAATCACACAAAAAATAAAAAAATCTAATTGTTCAACCCATGGAAGTCTGGATTTGTAGTCACACTCAAAATTAAAGTGGAAAAACACACTACAGGCTGATCCAACTTTGATGTAATGTCCTTAAAACAAGTCAAAATGAGGCTCAGTAGTGTGTGTGGCCTCCACGTGCCTGTATTATTATTATTATTATTATTATTATTATTATTATTATTATTTTTATTATATTTATAGAGCGCCGTCAAATTCTGCAGCGCTTTACAATGGGTGGACGGACAGACATGTAGTTGTAACCAGACAAGTTGGACACACAGGAACAGAGGGGTTGAGGGCCCTACTCAATGAGCTTACAAGCTAGAGGGAGAGGGGTAAAATGACACAAAAAGGTAAGCATAGTATTAGACTAGTGACAGTTGCAGAGGAGGAATCAGTCAGGAGCTATTAACAGTTTAATTGATACGCTTTTATGAAGAAGTGAGTTTTTAACAATTTTTTGAAGGAATGGAGACTGGGTGAGCATCTAACGGAGGAGGGAAGTGAGTTCCACGGGAACGGTGCAGCCCTCGAGGAATCTTGAAGGTGAGCATCAGAGGTGGGAGTATGGACAGAAGATAGACGTAAGTCTTCAGCAGATCGTAAGGGCCTAGACGGGACATACTTGTGTATAAGGGAGGATAGATAGGTGGGAGCAGCATTATGTAGAGATTTGAAAGCAAGAACCAGAATTTTAAATTGAGCTCTATATTTTATAGGAAGCCAATGTAGGGACTGACAGAAGGGTGAGGCATGGGAGGTGTGGGCGGACAGGAAGATGAGCCTCGCCGCCGCATTCATTATGGACTGTAACGGTGCTAGTTGGGAGCACGTAAGACCACTGAGAAGCGGATTACAGTAGTCAAGGCGAGAAAGGACAGTGGAATGGACCAACACCTTAGTTGCATCTGGCGTTAAGTAGGGGCGGATGCGCGCAATGTTTTTGAGATGGAAATGACCGGATTTGGCGATAGATTGAACATGAGGCTTGAAGGAGAGGTCGGAGTCAATGCTCTGGACAAGGGACAAAGGGAGGGCAGAGGCCAACTGCACTCTGCCCAGCTGCCAGCTCTTCTGCTGGGGTGCTTAGGACATAGTCCGGCTCAGTAGCCAGGGGAACGTGGGGGTCAGTGGGAGTTAACATCTCCTCTGTTAACCCTGGGGCCAAGTTAGGAGTTAGCTGGGGAGGGGAGAATTGGCTTACCTCCTCCTCCTGATACTCCTGCGATGGTAGCTGGGGATCTGGACAGGCTGTCTCCCCTTGGTAGGGTAAGCTGCCGCTGGGGAGAGAGGGGGCTGTGCTCCTCTCCCTGAAACACATGCTGCAGCTGGAGAGGGAGACCAACTGTCTCCACTCCCGTAACATTGTCCTGATGCTGGGGAAAGAGACCAACTTTCTCTGCTCCCTTGTAGGACACACTGCTGCTGGGGGGAAAGACAACACCTTCGGCCCCCTGTAACTCACACTGCTGCTGGGGAGGAAGGACGACACCTTCGGCTCCCTGTAACTCGCACTGCCACTGGGGAGGAAAGACGACACCTTCGGCTCCCTGGAACTCGCACTTCCGCTGGAGAGGAAGGACGACACCTTCGGCTCCCTGGGACCCACACTGCCGCTGGGGAGGAAGGGCGACACCTTCGGCTCCCTGTAACTCACACTGCCGCTGGGGAGGAAAGACGGCACCTTCGGATCCCTGGAACTCACACTGCCCTGGCGGTACCTCCAAGGTATACTGGGACTGACTGGAGCTGAGTAGGTACTGGTATTCCTGCTCCAGTTCCCATTCCTGGATGGCCAATTCAAACAGGTCTGGCTCTAGGTCTTCATCCATAGGGAGATCTAGAATGGTTGCTCTGGATTCATATATGTCCCATAGCCATGACACTGCCGCGTCCCCAAACCTTGGTCCGGCAACGGCATACCATAATAGGCCAGGGCTATTGTAATTCTCGCCCTCTGGTCTGTTGGGCTTAGCCATCCCGGGAACACACTGAACTGCATACCAATGTAGCGCCTGGTATGCGTCGTCGAGCCCCAGTTCCCTCCATGCCAGAGAATTAAGCTGCATTACCAACTCCTTCTTGGCTGTTCTCCCATCATAGGCATCCACATGGCCACTCGGGTCTGTAGTCGCTGCTGCTCACTGGGAAGACGCTCATCTCGCCAACGCTGGACACCCTCCAGGGCATCGTCCCACATCTCTTTCCTGGCGCTCTCTCTGCAGTCCAACCTGGTTGCCTCTGATACTGGCTCACCCAATGGGGCCAAGAGGCTCTGTAACCTCCAGTCGAACTCCTCCTCCACTTTGAGCACTGTCCAGGGACTTGCTGGCTCCATATCGCTCCGCAATAATTCCTGTGTCTCCAGGGTGCTGTTCCTCTCACTAGAAAGCCATCCCACCACTGCCACCACTGTAACGGAGCTCCCCGTACTCCGACCGAGTACCCTCCGTTGATGGACGCTTCCTAGCTTGCGCCGAGGACCACAAGCACCGCACTGGGCACCACAACCACCACAGACTCTGCAACGGCTGTAGCTTGACTGGAGTCTCGCAGTCTTCCTTCTACCCTGGATCAGCTTCTGTCCTCCAGGACCGTGTGGGAAAGACCTCTTCCTTCCACCCTGTATGATGCAGAGCATAGCAATCCCCAGTGTGATTATAACAGCTCCCTCCAATAATGAGCTAAGGGTACGTTTAAAGGGATTAAGAAGAACTGTCTAAACCTTTATTTTACTTGGGACTAGCCCATATGGTCATTACATTAACAATGCTGTGAAAACTTAATAAAATTACAAACCACCAAATCATAGCAGGCAACATACAGTGACTTATTATAACACAATGACATATTTTAAAAGGGGTGGGGAGACAATATTTAACAGAAAATATCTCACGTGCCTGCAGAATTAGCAATATGCAAATCTACCTGAATATGCAAATGAACCAGTCTTGCTATTCAGGTAGTGCATATTGTTGTTGCTACCAACAGAGGGCACTAGGCAAACTCCATAGCTAAATCCACCTAGTTGGTAGCAAACCTCAGCAGTACAGGAGAGCAGGCAATACATTTCACAGTACACACACACACTATAAACGATTACATTACACACACACCCTGCACCTATAATGGGTACAGGGTGACTAAAACATAAGAGAAATAAAGCAACCTACATACATAGTCTGTCTGAAGGTAGAATAGGGGCTTTAAAGCCAAATATATCAGAAATATATAAGAGTCATAGTCACAACCGACTTGCTCCCTTTATACTATCCTACGCTTATGCTGGAACCTTACTCCATATACGGCTATTTGCCACGAACACAAGTTTTAAGGCCATTTGGCCTGTATTTGTGGGAGGGGCTTAAATTAATTCACTCCCCTATATAAGGGACACCCCTTACCTGACTCATATCGCTTGAGGTCAGCATCAGAATGACCCTCCCACCCACTCCTCATTTCAATACTTTCAATACTTTCTCTTTTCTTTCCATTTACTTTACTTACTTACTTCTTGGTGGGCCCTCTTTATTTACAGGCCTACCGTATCGTCGGTCTCGGCACACCACAACCGACTTGCTCCCTTTATACTATCCTACGCTTATGCTGGAACCTTACTCCATATACGGCTATTTGCCACGAACACAAATATATATATATATATATACACACACACACACACGTCTTCTCCTCCTTTCTTTTCTATCTCTCCTTTTCTTTTCTCTATACACATAGGAGGAAATAGAGTGTTGACACCTATTACATAATATCTGCTCTAAACCCCATGCTCCTCTTTGTGTATTACAGCAATTCTAATTTATGAGATTATAATTTAATGTGGCCATTCTATTTTGTTTTGTTTTATATGCTGCATAATTGAGTACTGTATTAGTTGTCTTTAACTTGCACAATAAGTCTAAGTTAGTACCGCAGCTGTGAATTAATTTAACCTTGGTCTCCCCATTTTCCTCAAACAGAAGTTTAAATCAATTACTGCTTAGATGTGGTCTATTTGATGTTGCATTATATTGCAAAACGATTTAGCTTATGTATTAAATATAGGGATATGTTTATAACAGACAAAATCATCACAAATATGACGTTTGTATTGATATATGTTTATATAATGAATCAATAACAATATATATATATATATATATATATATATATATATATATATATATATATGTATATATATATATATATATATATAAATTATAAATATTTGTGAATTATTATGTTAAATATAAATCCTCTAATAAATGTGTTCCAGGGTCTAAAAGAGTTAAAAATAGTGAATTAACTATTAGATTTAATTAACAAGGGGATACAGTGGCATAATATTGATTTTGTGATATTAATAAAATTATAAATGTTTGATAACTTTTTTATAAAATATAATTTTTTATTTTTTTTTATATATATATTTTAATTACCCTATAACAGTGATGGCGAATCTTTTTGAGCCTGAGTGCCCAAACCGCAATACATGACAACTTTTTTTTTTTCGTTAAAGTGCCAACACGGCAATTAAACCTGAATACTGAGGTTTAGGTTTAGAAAAAACAACTCGTACTGTTGTCCGAACTAATTAACAACGTTTGTTTTAAAAGAACACAACAACAGAGAGTTCTATGATACAGATTTTAAATAATGATATAAATAGATAAAATTAAGCTTATATTTATTAGTATCTTCAACAGATGCAATACATACACACACAGACTGCTGAATACATACAAACACAGTCCGCTCAATACATACAAACACAGTCCGCTGAATACACACACACAGTCCGCTGAGTACACACATTGATGAGTACACATACACAGACTGCTGAATACATGCACACACAGGGATGCTGGGTGTGGGGGGGTAGGGGTGCTTGGGAGAGGAGGGGTCCTGTGTGGGGGGTAGGGGTACTGTGTACTGTGTAGGGGTGCTGTGT